ATAGTTATTAAAAATTGGGGTAAGAGTTAAAGTTATGATTATTTGCAACTCTAAATTTTTTTTAAAAATTAGAAATCAGTCTGTAAAACACAACATAATATTTCTGAACCAAATTGAAGACAACTTAAATAACGAAGAAGATAACACTGATGGGTCAGAAGACTTATTATTACTAAGTAACCTGTTTCCCCCAAATTGCTCTGTTAATTCGTCAGAACCCAATTAAGATCCCAGCAAGATTTTTCAGGGACTTGAGAAGGGCCTCTAAAATTATTATGTAAATGCAAAGTACCTGGAATAACCAAAACAGTTTATAAAAGAAAAATGTTATATTAGTTGAATAACCTAGTTACAAGAATTGATATATAGTTTCAGTGATTAAGGCAGTGAATATTGGCTGGCCAGAGTAGAGACAAACAGATTGATAGAAAAGAAATAAACAGTCATTTGATTTTTTTCTTTTCAAATACAACAGTTACCAAGTCAAGATAATGCTAGTTTTCCAACTGGATAACTATTATGGAAGAAAATTAATCTTTATCCAGATGTTTGTGTTCTAACATACAAAAATTAATTAGCAGTTAATGTCATAGCTTTAAGTGTAAAAAATAAAACTATTTTTTTGAAGATGAAACAGATCAATTTTTACCTAACTTTGGAGTAGGCAAAGATTTCTTAGACACAGAAAGTACTAACTATACTCAAATTGATAAACTGTATTTATAAACCTTATAAACTTCAGCTAATCAAAAGATATCATTAATAAAGGGCTTCAAAGGGTCTTGGGAAAACTAATAATAAATTGCAGTTCTACATGATAATCCATGCATGAACTAAATATAATGAAAAGTCTATTGATAGTAAAAACAACATATAAAATACTTGAATTATTGGCATAAAATCAAATTAAAAGTAAAGAAAAAATAACTAAACTTATACCATAAATCAATTTTATACTTTAACAAAGATAACACTTCTGAATTTAGTAAAAAAATTTTAATGTTAGACTATTTTTCCTCAAGGTTTTTTTTGTTACAAAGAAACATTTATTTTGTAATAGAAAAAGAGAATGTATACATAACACTTTCAGAAGGTATATCAAGGATGGTTTCATATAAGAATGTAAAGTGCATGATAGTTCAGAGACATAAGAGATTATGTTTTATATATAGCAAAAGGAAAGACTGAGAGAAAGGGTGCTTGAACTAGAGTGTGGAATAATGAGAAAGATATATTCTCAGTAGGGTAGAAATAAAAATCAAAGGCACACGAATGGCTTAATATAAGGAACATGAAGATGAAAATAAGGAAGCAGGGCTAGAAAGATAAGTTGACTCTGAGCATGGATTACTTCAAATCTCACATCACAGGGAAAGGGAATATATTATCTTGGAAAGAGCATTCACATGGGGTAATACTGTATTTTGTTGTTCATATTGTTAGCTGCCATCAACTAAAAATCATAGAGACTACGTACAGGAGAATGAAACTATCCTCACAGTCTCCTGTGCTTCATTCAACACATTATTGTAGTCACTGAGTCAGTCCATCTCTTTCTGGCACCATTCCTCTTTTTCATCAGAATACTTTTCTAATCATGACATTCTCCAGGGACTGGCTCCTCTAAATAATAGTACATTTATAAGGTTTATGTTTTTCTTCACTTTAATGTTATTGAAATAAAAATCCATAATCCATATTTATATTTTCTGTATTAGTCTCCACTGTCTCAAAAGATGTATTAAATTTGTAATATTAGTAACAAAATAGCATATATACCTTCAATGGAAATTTTTTTCTCTCAGCTATTTTAAGTGACATTTTAAGACAGAATTCCAGGGCAAGGGAGCATGGCTTTAATTTTATTAACATATTTATTTGTGGGTTTTAAAAAAAATTAACATTTCTTAATAGTGCATTTTTATCAAACTAGATTGAGACAGTGAGAAATTTTTCTAAGTAGTCTTTGATTTGTTTGTGGACATTCAGTCAAATCTTCCAAAAAAAGTTAAGAATACAGGAATAAAAATTAGGCCATGAGCAGCCCCAAACATCATAACAAGAAATATAATTTTGAAAAATGTCCTGAAGATGTATGCATTAGATGTATATAAAAGGCACACCCCAATTATTGTTGATACTGCACTTTGTAACACAGGATAGCCTAGCAGATACAATGCCTCAACTGCTTTCTCGTTTAGTGTGGGCTTAGAACTGGAAACAAATGCATAGCATATGTGTGCAGAAAAGTAAAAAAAAAACCCCTATACAAATGACAAGATTCATCATAGATATGGAATCAAGATTGACATTCCAGTAAGCCATGAAACCTGTTACTCCCACAACCACAGAAGCAATAGCAAAAGTTACCCACAAGGCACATACTGGATGAGGAATTAACAGTGAAGAAACAAAGAACATAGCCAATGATGCAACAACAACACTCTGAATAGTGTTTTCCACTATTACAGCATACTGATCAAAATATATGAAGGCTTGGTTGTACACCAACAGTGGAATTTTACAAGATGCAGCAATGCCTCATAACTGTTTTAACATCCTCTTCTTATAGGCAGGAGTAGAAACATACCTGGTCTGAATGAAGGTCCGGGAAGAAATTATTTCATTTGATGATGAAATATTAACATCATATACAAAATTGGGAAAATTATTTAAAAATACAGGTATATTTTTTGCAAAAGTATTCTTATCATTTACATCTTGTTTTGTTGTTTCCATATACTGCACATAACCAAAATTGTAACCAAAAGTCTGTGATATTTTCAACTACATACTTAACTGTTTTCAAATTCTATTATACACAGTTCCAGGTTTTCCCTGACTTCTTTACTCCAGTGGTTAACATTTGTAGTAACAACAACCATAACCACAGGGCCATACTCCGAAAAATACTCATCATTTACATCAAAATATGGTCTGATATAGGAATCATCACTTGCTAGATTTCGAACATCTAAACCTTCCTTCCCTTGGAGACACCCATATATGCTGCTTATGATATACAAAAAGTACAACAAAACTACAAACATTTTGGACTCAGTACATGTGAGAATGACAAAGCAAGGTATTACAATGAAATGTGCAAGGAGTTGGAGTCAGAAAATCAAAAGGGCTGAACTCACTCAGCATATCTTAAGCTCAAGGAACTGAAGAACAAATTCAAACCTCGAGTTGCTATAATCAAGGATGCTTTCGGCAGAATGTTAAA